TCCTTGCCTCTGGGGTTTATTCTCCTTTTCCTGACTCCCCAAGTGCCATCACCCATTGGAACCTAGTGAGAATGCTTTGTAAGTTTTACTATGTTAAGTATTGTCACTTTCCTCATTTTGGTATCGCCAGTCCATTCTGCAACTTGGGAATTATTTTCCTGTTTAAACTGTTGATCTATTTCCCTAAAGAAACAGATTTTCTCCCCTTTCCCTTCTTTTCTTTCCAGGTTGTAGAAAACCTTGTAGTAAGATTCAAGCAATCAATTTTCAGAATCTCTCCATTGCACTTGCATCCTTTGATGTACTTGACATGTGATGGCAGTCAATTTTTAATGGTAAAAACATCTTCACTGAAAACAGTTATTAACCTCATGAAAATTATATTCATTATTTCAGTTTTTCATCTTGTGATCCTTTTGTTGTCGTTGTTGTTAAATGCCTTTGATTCAGTCCCAACCCATAGTGATCCTGCATAGGTTTTCCGAAGAGTGGCTGGTGAGTTTGAACTGCCGACCTTGGGATTTACACTGACTTTGTAGTCCCGTGCATTAACACATGCCAGGACTCCATTTAGACTACCATAATTCCATTTTGCTCTTCAACTCTTACCCCAAACCAAAAAAACAAAAACAAATTTAAAAAATGTTAACACTACAGGATAAGCATTGGACTGCTAACTGCAAAGTGGGCAGTTCAGCCCATAAGTCTCTCCTTAGAAACCATGTACAGGGTCACTATGAGTCAGAACCAACCACATAGTACTTAACAACAACAACAAAGTAAGCAAAGCAGGTTTCTGCACCAGCTGGTTTCTTAATAACACTTGAAGGTCACTTAACTCTGAGAAGCTCAGTTTCCTCTTTTGTAAAATCAGGAAGTTGGCTTAGGTTAGCTGCAGCTTCCTTCCAGTTCTAGAACACCATTCAAGACTTAAAAAATGATGGGGGTGGAAACCTGGGGGAAGGCCCCGGAAGTGAAGAAGGCCAGCTAATTTTATTTTGTAGCTGTAACATTCTGCTGCCATGAACACTAAGAAGCAACAATTTACTTTTAGCTCTAGGATGATCTCAACTCACCAGTGTAAGCAATAAATGAGAACTGAGTACTAACCTTGGCTTCAAGAAAAAGATGAAATTTTCTGCTCCCACAAAGAGGTACAGCCTTGGAAATCCTATATTGGGTCACTATGAGTTGGAACCAACTCAGTGGCACTTGACAACAACAATCTTGGCTTGATGTCCTGGTACAGTGTTTTAGGATAAGCACTGCACTGCCAACCTTAAAGTTGAAGATTCAAACATACGAGACACTCCTTGGAAACCCTATCAGGGTCGCTATGGGTCGGAACCAATTCGACAGCATGTAACAGCAACAATCTTGGCTTTACCACTAATTAAGAGATTCTTACAGTTCCCATTCCCCTGAAATGAGACTATTAATATCCACCTCCATTTTGTTTCACAAACAAACTTTTTCTACTATAGTTAAGTGAAAGGGATGGTAAACTAAAATTCAGGAACTGAAAATATTTTTTCTCCTTAATTTCAATTTAAACCATGTTCACTTCCTTCTATAATTATTTAAAAATCACCACCCATAAGAACCTAGGAATTAGTAAATGGAGGGATAGATGTATGGAAAATTAAAGAAAAAAAAAAAGTAGGATGACTATTTTGAGGCTAATTGTGTTAGTTTACTGCAAAAATGTTAAAAGAATTAAGTCGAAGCACCATCTAGTGGCTCTCAATTGTGTTTTGCTAAAAATCACTCCCAATTTTCTTCAGTATAGGTCCACAGTGAATTTGTTGTGCATGTACATGAGTGCATATGTGCGTTCAGAAAGAAAACATTTTTCTCACTTCTGTGAAAGGACGGGAGATGGGAGGAGGATGGCTGATGCTTTTGACCCTTCCAATCCAATGCTGCTGTTAGTTTTCAACTCACAGAGGTTTCCTAGGAGTGGCTGAGGAGTTGAATGGCCAACCTTGCGGTTAGTAGTCCAGTGCTTATCCTACAGAGCCACAACAGGATTCCTTCAATCCAATAACACCCACTTAATTCTGGTAGTTAAAATGTTGTTCTTTTTTACAATTAGGGTTAAGGGCAGAGAAGATGTAGTATGAATTCTCATAAATCTCTTCCAGAAATTATGGGGTTCTTGAAGTGGAAACAAGACTAACACAATTAAATCCCATAGATTTCAGATCCTCTATTTCTCCTTATATCTTCTCCAAGTGCACACAAGGGCATCTTTATCTTCTTCATCTTATAATACAGACATGTCTTCACATGTCTTGGGACTGGCTGACTACTGGATGATCTTTGTATATCCTCAGATTTCCAAGCCCTTTCCCACACAAGCCCATAGCAGCCTTTGAGTTTACATAACCAGAAATTCTTCTGGAACTTTCATAGATATGGTTCCCATTCTTATGATTCCTATATTGTGAAGTTAAATTTGTTTCATCATCTCCAGTGAAAGAAAGAAAGTAAGTCATGAAAATGCACATGAATAAAACATAGCTTGGAGTCTGGGTATAGTGCTGTAGGATAGCCACTGGACTGCTAACTGCAAGGTTGGCCGTTCAAACCCACCATATGCTCCTTGGAAGCCCTATATAGGGCTGCTATGAGATGGAACCGACTCTACAACACTTAACAACAACAGCAGACTATAGCTTGCTATTGCAGACCTTGAGATGAACAGACTAGGTATTTTATCAGTAAGAATTCAGTTTAGCTGCATACAGAGTAAAACTGAAAATACCAGTGACTTGAACTAAATAATTTATTCTCTTTCTCTCACAAAACAGAAATCTACAGATCTAGGGTTGGCATGGTAATTCTATGGCTATCAAGTTTCAGGCTGCTTCCTTCTTTCTTTTCCACCATCTGAGTGAGGACTTCAATCCTCAGAGTCACCCAGGACCCTAAGTGGCTGCTGGAGCTCCAATTCTCACATCGATATTGCAGTTCAGAAAGAAGCAGTAAGGAGGAATTGCAAAGCATATATCTCCCTTCTCTTTAAGGGATTTTTCTGAAAATCTCACACAAGATTTATGCTTATATCTTATTTGCCACCATTTATATGAGTGGTTATACTCAACGCAAAAGGGTTAAACACTTTTTGTAAAATAAGTTTTATTCTGATTCAAAGGTTTGCAAATTAATAAGCACTAAAATGAAAATTTTAAATGGCATTATAGGAAGGGGTCATAAGCACATGTCCTTTTTACTCAATTCTGCAGAATTCTGTAGAGTTGGGAAAGAACAAGGGGTGCATTTGATTGGTTGATATTCAACATGTCTGTAAGACTCATTACCAAGAATTTCTGTTTACTGGTATGTTCAACTTTATCCTCATATTCCTGAGTTCCAGAGCTAATTCCTACAACAATCTGGGTTGGCCACCTCAGAACATTGCAGAACAAGTTATCTTGGTGAAGAGTGAGGTCCTGGGTCATGTACTCTAAAAAGCAAAAGCTGGGGCCTAGGATAAAATGAAGCCTGATTCAGACCTGTATCAGGCATTCTAGTTACGTCAGGTAACTCAGTTTTACAGTGCTCTTCCACAAACAGAATCTTAGAAATGTATTGTAGATAATCATTATTATTGCTATTGTTAAGTGCCATCAAGTCGGTTCTGACTCATAGAAAGTCTGTATAGGGTGACCAAGGAGTAGTTGGTGGGTTTGAACTGCAGGCCTTGTAGTTTGCAGTCCAATGCTGACCCTACAGCACCTCACGAGTCCATATCACACGTTAAATAAATCTGGAGTTCTGATATTAGGCAATGTACTGCTTATCTAATGCCATGATAGTACTATATGACAAAACAAAATCACAAAACCTCAGTGACAACAATTGTTTATTTGTCTGGGATCAACTGGCGTTCACTAAGCAGCTCTGCTGATCTTGTCTGAGCTTCCTCACATGTCTAAGACATAGATGGTCTAGGAGGTGGGTTGACACTGGAGTAATTCAGCTCTGCTCCATGTGTTTTCTGTCCTCCAGCAAGCAGGCTAGTCCAGACATGTTCTCATGAAGTAGTGAATAGAAAAGCCGGTAGGGTCTCTTGAGACCTAAGCTCAAAATGGGTATACTACCACTTCTGCCTCATTTTATTGGCCAAAGCAAACTAACTACACAGGACACTTAACAACAACAACAACAACAACAACAATTCATTAAGTAGTTCCATAAAAATCATCCTTTCTGGTTTTTTTCAGGTCACTAGCTAAACAGAAAAGACAGAAAGAGGAAGAACTGTTGTTGCTCTTGTTGTTAAGTGCTGTCGAGTCAGTTTCAACTCATAGCAACCCTGTATAGGGCTTCCAAGGAGTGAGTGTCAACATAGAACCACCAACATTGTAGTTAGAAATCCAATATTTATCCTGTACTACAGGGGAGACTAGTAGCATAGAGCTAATAAAACCCCACCTGCTCCCTGATCTACCTACCCCCACCAACCTACATTTGAGTAGGAAGGGAGCAAGGATTTAACTTTGTGGTTTAGAATTGAGGTTTTTGTAGAGTTGTTTGTTTTAACAATTAGACTATGCTAACATATAGTATCCTCCAGCCCTTATGCTTTCATTTTCTGCCTTGGAGTTTGGTTAAAAATAAAAGTAATAGCCCTAATCACTTGTCGCTTTACACAAGAAAGTTTGTCCTTTAAATAAAAGGATACTTTTTACTATCGGATCACTATATGTATGAGTGAACATAGAGTACCAGTTTATGGTGGGCCCAGAAAACTCCAACTTCTTATCACCATTGAGTAGTTGCCACGCCTCCTTCTGTTCTCTGGGCAGCTCTACCTGGGTTCAGTTATTAGCAAAGTCTAAATGGGGGAGTAAAAGCAAGTGCCAAAAATGCTTCAAACTTGTCCCAGGACATTGTAAACTTAAATGCTTTACAATACTGTTTTCTTCTTAATTAATCCTATACTTTCCAGTATAAGAAAAGCTCAGTTTGTACCTGCAACCCCTGGAAGTAAATTAATCCCATGATGTCCCCTGGAAGAAAAGGATTCCCACGATGACCAGAAGAACCAAAAGAAGAGATAGTTTCACAAAGAGAATGACCAGGAAAGGCGACTCCAGAAATCCTGGGGCTCTGTGACCTTTAAATACAGACAGGGCAATAAATGATTTTAAAGAGTCTTCTAATTAACAAAGTACAGCCAATAATTTAAAAGAGCATTTTTAAATATTCTGAAAAGTTCACAGACTATTAATAATCAAAATGCTTGCAAATTCTGATTCTATGGTAGCTAAATATTCTTTCATGAAACTGTTGAGAAATTATGTCTGTGCTTTGCACATGGTGCTGCAAATTGTTAATGTACTTGGTTGAAAACCAAAATATTGAAGATTCATGTTCAGCCAGATTGTTTCAGAAGAAAGACCTGGTAATGTGTTTCTTAAAAATGAGCCATTGAAAAAAATCAGCCTATGGAGCACAGTTCTACTCTGGAACACATGGGTCACCATGAGATGGAGTTGATTCAGCATCAAGCAGTTAGGTTTTTAACAAATATTTTCTGAATAAATGAATGCAGGATAAACATTGCTCATTACATCTCAATTTTATAAGTAAAAAGAATAATATAAAGAAGTATGGTATCATTTCTCATGTAAAGATTAGTTGTAGGGAATTATTCTTAATTTTTTGGACACTTTGTTGTAGTTGTTAACATTCTGACTCATAGCAACTCTGTATAGAAGCGGCTGGTGGGTTTGAACTACCAACATTACAGTTAACCATCCAATGCTTATCCTACAATGCCACACCAGGACTCCATTTTGGGTACTAGCTGATAACATTTTCTTCACAGTGAAGTGATTTTACCACTGAGTTAATGTAACCCCTTTATTAAGGCATTTTGTTTTATTTGTACTTTTATCTATTCACCCTGGGAATTTGTTGAAAAGTATGATGGGATTAATCAGAACCACCATTGCAAATTCTTTTCTCCTATAAAAATGGCAGCTAAGAGACTATATGAACTCTAAACTCACACTTGATTTTTAGCTGGTGTGGCACTGTGGCCTAATGTGCTGGACTACAAAGTTGATTTGAACTACAAGGTCAGTGGTTCAAGTTTACCAGCTGTTCCTTGGAAATCCTATACAGGGTCACTATGGGTCAGAACTGACTTGATGGCACTTAACAAAAACAACAATATCCAAAAATGCCATCACATTGAATTACCTGCCCAGTGACTGAAGTATCTACCCAAGTCAGACACTCTGTTAAACATTATAAGGGAATAAGATAGGTTTACTTAAGGACCTAAAAATCTCACAGAATAGTTACAAATGTCTTAAAAAATAATTTACAAAAAAAGCTAACAGTGTTAAGTAAACATAGAAAATGAATCTGTTTAAGAAGACTAACAAGTTGACTGAATGTTAAGAAGAAAATCAATGGGAGGAAAATGGGAGGAAAAACAGATGAGAGGACAGTATCAAATGTGATAAAAACCCTAAGTAACAGCAAGGGAAGCAAAGTTTATAGTTTATTTGGCTCTCAGGAGACTTCTAGTTGTCTTTGTTGGAGTATTCTGGACAGAATGATGCAAGTGAGTGAAGTCTAGAACGTGAGGTGACCAACAAGAGATCTTTAGTGAGTATGCTCCTGTGTTCACTCCAGCTGATTCTGAGTCATGGCAACCCTGTATAGGGCTTTTGAGTCTATAGATCTTTATGGGAGCAGAAAGCCTCATTTTTATCCTATGGAGTGGCTAATAGATTCAAACTACTGACCCAAAGCATAACTCACAAGCCACCAGGGTTCTTTTTAATGAGTATTTGTTTTTGTGGTTGTTGTTGTTGTTCTAATGTGCCGTGGAGTCGGTTCTGACTCATAACGACCCTGTACAGGGTTTCCAAGGCTGTAAATCTTTACACAAGCAGAAAGCCTCATCTTTCTCCCGTGGAACAGCTGGTAGTTTCCAACTGCTGATCCCGAGATTCACAGCCCGATTCGTAACCACTATGCTACCAGAGCTCCTTGTTTTTGTGGTTAAGTGCCTTCAAATCAGTTCTGACTTACAGTAACCCCATATAGGGTTTCCAAGTAGTAAATGGTGGGTTTGAACAGTCAATCTTATAGTTAGCAGTCCAGTGCTTATCCTACAGTGCCATACCAGACACCTCTTTAAAATATTCTGGATATTAAAACAACAACAAAACAAAAAAAAAAAAAAAAAAAACAGGAGAAGAAAACCTAAGAGTCTGAGGAATTCATAGCATCAATTTATGTTTGAATAGGAGAGCTATGAGCATGTTTATATGCTTAACTCTAGGAAAAGGATTTGTGGAACAGGAAAGACTGAACAAAAGAGAAAAGGAAAACAGATGAAACAAAACTGTTAGGGAGACAGAAGGTGAAACATCTGGGTACAGGTAGGGTGTTTAGTCTTGATCTATCTAAGTAAGGGAAAGTGGAACTGGAGATAAATAAATTGGTCTAGAGACAAGAAGTAAGACATAAGACATTAGATTTGATGGGAGTTTGAAAATGAAAAGTAAGGACTAGATAAAAGAGGTGTTGTGAGGGATAATTAACAGGATATGATTACAAACATGACTTTATATCATGGTTATGCACCTTATATGTGCTATGGGATAATCACTGGACTACTAACCACAATGTTGGTGGTTCAAATCCACCTGCTGCTCCTCTGAAACCCTATACAGGGTTGCTGTGAGTCAGAATTGACTCCACGGCACTTAACAAAAACAATATAATGTTTTTAATGATTACTACAATATTTTGTTGTTAGGTGAGTCAATTTGATTTTGAGTCAAAACAACACTATGCATAACAGAACAAAACACTGCCTGGTCCTTCACCAGCTCCACAATTGTTATACTTGAGCCCATTGCTGCTGCCAAGGTGTAAATCTATCTCAACGGCGTCTTCCTCATTTTTGCCGACCCTCCACTTTTCCAAGCATTATGTCCTTCTCCAGGACTGGTCCTCGTGATAACATGTCTGAAGTATGAGACATAAACTTTTTCCATCCTGGCTGTACTTCTTCCAACACAGATTTTCTTATTCTTCTGACAGTCCATGGTACTTCTAATATTCTTTTCAAGCAATATAGTTCAAATGTCTGGATTTTCTATGGTCTTCCTTACTCATTGTCCAACTTGCATATTCATATGAGGGTATTGAAAATACTATGGCTTGGATCAGGCACAACTTACTCCTGAAACTGATATCTGTGCTCTTGAACACTTTAAAAAGGTCTTTTGCAGCAGATTTGCTTAATGCAGTACACTGTTTGATAACTTGATTCCAACTTTCATTAATGTTCATTATGGATCCAAGCAAAACAAAGTCTTAGACAACTTCATTTTTTTCTCCATTTATGTTACTTATTGGTCCAGTTGTGAGGAATTTTGTTTTCTTTCCATTGAGGTGCAAACCATACTGAAAGCTGTAGTCTTGATCTTCATTGAGTATTTTAAGTCCCCTTCACTTCCAGCAAGCAAGGATGTATCCTGTACATATCACAGGTTGTTAATGAATTTCCTCCAATCCTGATGCCACATTTTTCTTCTTATAATACAGCTTCTCAGACTATTTGCTCAGCATGAAGATTGAATAAATATGATAAAAAGATACAACCCTAATATATACCTTTCCTGATTTTAATCCATTCACTATCACCTTCTTATGTTCCAAAAACTGCCTCTTGAGCTATGTACAGGTGCTTCATGAGCACAATTAAGTGTTTTGGAATATTCATTCTGTGCAATATTATCCATAGTTTTTCATGATCCACACATTTGAAAGCCTTTGCATAGTCAACAAATTACAAATAAACATCTTTCTGGTATTCTTTGCTTTTAGCCACAATCCATCTGACATCACTAATGATATCCCTCATTCCACATCCTCTTCTGAATCTGACTTGAATTTCTGACTTGAAAATCTGACTTGAATTCCTTATAGATATACTATCACGATCGTTTTGAATTATCTTCAGCAAAATTTTACTTGCTTGTGATATTGATACTGCTCAATGATTTCTGCATTCTGCTGGATCACCTCTCGAAATGGGCACACATATGGATCTCTTCCAATCCATTGATCAGATAACTACCTTCCAAAGTTCTTGGTATAGATAAATTAGCACCTCCAGTGTTTCATCAGTTTGTAGGAAGATTTCAATTTATACTCTGTTGATTCCTGGAGCCTTGTTTTTTGCCAAAGCCCTCAGTGCAGCCTGGACTTCTTTCAGTATCATCAGTTCTCCATCACATGCTACCTCTTGAAATGGTTGAACATTGACCATTTCTTTTGGGACTGTGACTCTGTATTCCTTCCATCTTCTTTTGATGCCTTCTGCATCATTCAATATTTTTCCCATAGAATCCTTGACCAATGCAAGTCAAGGCATGAATTTTTTCTTCAGTTCTTTCAACATGAGAAATGCTGAGTGAGTTCTTTTTTGAATTTCTAAATCCAGGTTTTTGCACATTTTATTATACTTTACTTTGCTTATTGAGCTGACTTTTGAAATTATCTGTCCATCTCTTTTGCTTCCTTATTTCTTCCATTTTCTTTAATTTTTCTACACTCAAGATCAAGTTTGAAAGTCTATTTTGACATCCATTTCTTTCTTTACTATATTTTTAATTCCTTCTTCCCACAACTCTTCGGATCTTCAGTAATTAGTGTCTATGCATCACATCTGTTCTTGAGGTGGTCTCTAAATTCAGGTGGGTTATTTTCAAGCTCATAGTTGGCTCTCTTAGACATGTTTCAATTTTCTTCAGCTTCAGACTGCACTTGCATTTGAGCAATTGATGGTTGGTCCCACAGTCTGTCCCTCACCTTGTTTTGGATGATAATATCGAGAATTTTCACCATCACTTCCCACAGATGTAGTCAATTTAATTCCTGTGTATTCCATCTGCTGTTGTCCATGTGTATAGTCATCTTTTATGTTGTTTCAGAAAGACATTTACAATGAATAAACCATTTGTCTTGTAAAATTCTATCATGCAATCTCCAGCATCATTTCTGTCAACAAGACCATGTTTTCCAACTAGTAATCCTCTCTCTTTGTTTTCAACTTTTGCATTCCAAACACACATAAAGATAATATTTTTAAAACTATGTACTAGTTTCTGGATTAAGGGATTTCATGTTCTAACTAATTCACTTGTAATATAATAACCCTAAGAGGTGGATGCCATTATCCCTATCCAACAGATAAAGAACCTATGTATCAGAGAAATTAAATACTGCTCAAGGTCACATAACTATGATTGAAAAGCCATATTCTGACAAAGACTATGTTTCCTTATATAATGTGAAGACATGAACCTTGGTTTTTTATCTTTGAATCACCAACTACAAACATACAGAGAACATTTAATAAATGTTTGGTGAATGAATTGATGATTGGGTTCATATGAAAAGGCACATGGATAAGGAAAATCAGTGTTTTACTCAGGGTAACAAATAAGGTGGTATTTACTATAAGAAACAGAGAAATCATTAAAGGAATGAGTGTTGTTCTTAGCTTTGTGCTGAATATTGGTAGTCTAATTCATATCTCTAAATTGCACACTTAAAAAAATATTGAGTTGTCAAATGCTTTATCATCTATTTATATGATAACAAAAAATATAAATATACTAATTTTATACCAGTAATTAATCTCAAGATAAATATTTTAAGATCTGCCAAATACTAATTTATCAAATGATAATCAAAAAACTATCTTATCAAATAATATATTTTATAGTTACCACACTAAAATTATATGGAAAATGCACTGGTAGAAAATTATGTAGTTAATTTATTTAGTAAAGGAGCACAAGTGATTTCTTTAGCACACTAATTTATTTTCCATTTAAATTTAGAGATTATATCAAATCAGGAGCTTGAACTGTTTTACCTTGTACTTGGTTATCCTTAACTCTGCTATGGAAGAAAAAGTTGAATACCAATTCACTACTCTGAAAGAAGCAGCCACTAACCTGAATATAGTTCTAGGGACAGACTCTTGTTCCCAGTCCAGTGGGAGACAGAGCAGGTCACAGTAGACACATTGTCCTCCTCCCAGTAGCATGAACTCTGGACAATCACGTCACCATTCCTCTGATTTTCTTGTTCAGTGACACACTTCCCCTCTGGGGTCCAAGAGATCCATGCAGCTGGCTTCCCTGAAACTGCCTTGCATACCACAGTTCTAGTATCAATTAGAAATATGCTCACCTCAAGGGGCACTGTAGGGAAAACAAATGATTCAGTCATGACATAGACAATATGGAACTTAGAGACACATTTGATTCAGTTCCAAATCTGGTTAACCAAAAATAGCACAATATATAATGTTTCTTACCAGACACATGAAGGTGATAGTCATGTTGGAAACTCCCTTTAGTTGTTACCATTTCACAGTTGTAAGTCCCCTCATGCATGATGGTCACTGGGCCAATCAGAAGGGCAGGATTCTGGTCAGGTCTGGTGGCCCAGGTTACTCCCATATCAGTACAGTTGGTATCTGCTGTCTCATTTCTATCTCTCCTGTAGGCTCTCAGGCAGTTAGTTTGGTCTCTGAGGGTTATCTTCCAAGTCACCATGATGAAGTCCATTGTCCATGGGACAGGAGGGCAGGAGAGCACAATCTTTTCATCCACCTGTACCCACAGTGACATATTCTCTGGACATACACACAGAAGGACAGTGATTTTATTTTAAACTTGATAAAGAACTTTATTTGTTAAATTTATCCATAGCATAGTACATGAAGGTATACTAGAATTTTACTTTGGTGTAAAGTAATATAACAGAAATATTAAAGTCATGACAAAAATTCATAAAGATATAGAATATATTGAACATAAGCCAAAGATTAAACAATTTGTTCCTGTATTGTACTTTCTTAATAAAAGAATGTACGTTATTCATGATACAACTTTTAAAAATCTTTTGAAATTACTCAAGAGTTTTGATATCTGTATAACAGAACTCTCTGAAAAAACAACAAAAAAAGTTCTAAATCTAATGTTTCATCATTGAGATTATTTTGTGCACAATATAACTCCTGCTCCTGTAGAAAGAAAACAGAATAATGATGTAATTGTTTTCTCCTAAATTTTGATGAGAGATACATCAGAACGAAATGTCTATTCTAAGGTTAGCACCTAAGACACACATAAAAGTGCAAAGCATATGGTACTTTTATTTTTAAAAAAATAATAATAACAAGATGACATTAAGACTGAACAAGCTGAAATATTTATTTTTTTTACTCAGACTGTTACAAAGTTAATGAAATCAATGGGTTTTACCATAATCTGCAGTTTCATTGGTTTACCCATGACATAAAAATGAAAAATGATGATGCCCAGTAGTATGAGATGCTTTGAAATATTTATTTTTAGTAAATTTGTATCAATCAAATGTAAACTGGTTACTAAGAAAAGGATAATGATAATGCTTTCTATTTTCCAATTCCTTCTACAGGGTCTTACTTAAAGTTACCTAAAGCTCTTCTTTCTTTAAAGTATGTTTTACCTGCCCAGGATGTAAAAGTTCCTTTGCCTACTTGCTTATTGTTGTTGTTGTTGTTGTTAAGTGCCGTCGAGTCGGTTCCGACCCATAGCGACCCTGTACAGGGTTTCCGAGGGTGTAAATCTTTACGGGAGTAGAAAGCCTCATCTTTCTCCCGCGGAGCGGCTGGTAGTTTCGAACCGCTGACCTTAAGGTTCGCAGCCCGATTCGTAACCACTATGCTACCAGAGCTCCTTATTAGTTTCAGTTAATTCCCCACCCAAATCCCCTTAACCAGACGAGTGCACCTTTCTCTCAACTGCTGTACATCTTGGTTGATAAGCACTCTTAGTTGCCCTTCCTCTGTGCCATTTCTCTTTTCCCAGTAGCAGACATGTTTCTTAGGAGACACATTGCCAAACCCATAGCCAATGGCTGACTGACACAGGGAAGAAAAGGCTGCCTTATGCCCAAGATGGAACTACCTTTAGTATAATTAATGCTTCTTTGCATTTATCTGTAGTTGATTCCACATCTTTGCTTGGTTTTTCTTATACCCTTGTCCTATTATGTTTCCCGTTTAACTGTGGCACTGCAGGATTAGCACTGGACTTTGAAGCGCAAGGTTGGCAGTTCAAACCCACCAGCTACTCCTAGGAAACCCTGTACAGGGTCGCTATCTGGTAGCATAATGGTTAAGAGTTGGACTACCGACCTCAAGTTCAGCAGTTCAAGCCTACCAGCTGTTCATGGGAGAAAGATGAGGCTTTCTGCTCCCATAAAGATTTCCAGCCTCAGAAACTCTATGCAGGGTTGTTATGAGTCAGAACTGACTTCACAGCACACTACCATGAGTCAAAACAGACTTGATGGCACTTAACAACAACAACAACACTTCTTAAATTGAATACTTGCACAAGAATCCTATCTCAGCCTTTGCTTCAAGGGAATCTGACTTCCAGTACTCAAACAATTTGTACTGGATATGGTGGTGGGCAGTATGCTCTAAAGATGGTATTCTCAGGCTCTATCCTTTGCTAACTTTATGGAAATGAGACCCATCACTTTTGTTAGTGGAGTACCAATAGTCCCTGACATGCCCTAGGAGCCCTGATAATGCAGTGGTTAAAATTCGACAGCAAACCAAAAGGTCAGTGGTTTGAACCACCAGCTGCTCAGCAGTTGAATGACGTGACCATTTGCTTCCATAAAGATTTACAACCTTGGAAAGCTTATGGGGTGGTTCAACTCTGTCCCACAGGTTCATTGAGTCAGAATTAACTTGATTGCTGTGAGTGGGGACATGTCTTAGCAGAGTGATTGGTAAGGACTTGAACTTGGCATTTGAGAAGCCTTAAATTGAGTTGCCATTTCTGAGCACCAATCAGACATAAAGACAAACATGAAAGGTTCATATCTATTAAGCAGCAATTTAAGGAAAGTTATGATAGTCAGAGGGTCATGTCTATCGCATTTAAAGAAATACTCATCTTCTTCTGGCAGACCAGATTTAACAGTTAGAGTGGAAAACTTCAAAGACTGAGTTCTTGGTGTAAATAAATCTTATATTGTAATATTGTTGTGGAAGGAATGGAACCCTGAGAGTTGGATGAGGATATCTGGACTAATACACTTCAATATAAAGTTGGAGCTTGTTTTTATATTCAACACTCCTAGAACACAGTATTTAGCTTCCTGGGAAATACAAAGGGTACAGGTTTAATAGTCTGCCAGGCAGCTCTTTAAAAAAATTATTGTTGTTGTTGTTGCTGTTAATTGCTGTCAATTGGTTCCGACTCATAGTGACCCTGTATAGGGTTTCCAAGAAGTGGCTGGTGAGTTTGAACCACCAACCTCATGATTCAAATGACCTTGTGGTCAAGTAAATTTGAGTGAAATGGTGATATTGGATAGCTATGATAGATTGAGACCGAAAAGCTCAAAGAAGAGGGCATGGAATATGATTCTACTACATGTTATCAGAAAAATGACTAGTTGATTATGTACCTTGAATGGGGACAGTCAGTTTTCCCAAGCAATAAGACATGCATTGACACCTTAATCTAATACTGACACTACAAGATGCTATTACAGAGCTGATTCCCTAATAGCAATAAGGAAAACAGGATCTTAGAACAGCTGAGACCAGATGTAACATTAATTGTAGTGAGGAGCAAGGTCTGAATGGAAGCCAGAGACATCCTCACAGTGAATTAATGAAGATGCCTAATATGCCTTGCTGTTTCTACAGAAAAGAGAAATGCAGCCAACAAATGTATTGCTTAAAACACAAAGACAGGATTAGGAGAATGTTGAAGTCAGCTGTGTCAAAAGGCAGTCAAAATCCCTTACTTAGTTCTCAGACCCAGAATTGAAGGAGAGAGCACTATAGCACAGCAGAATATTGAGTCACCACTGTAAGTTTATCAAATTAACAGAGCAGTTCTCAAACTCTTTGGTTTAAGGATACTCTTTATACTCTCTTAAAAAATAATTAAGGACTACCAAAAATATTTTATTTTTGTGGATTATATTTGTTGATATTTATCATGTTGGAGGAGCCTGGTGTGGTGCTGTGGATTAATGCAATGGACTGCAAAGTCAGATTGAACAAGTTTGATTGTTCATGCTCACCAGCCACTCTCTGAAATCTATGGGTCAGAACTGACTGGCAGTTAGTTTGGTCTCTGAGGGTTATCTTCCAAGTCACCATGATGAAGTCCATTGTCCATGGGACAGGAGGGCAGGAGAGCACAATCTTTTCATCCACCTGTACCCACAGTGACATATTCTCTGGACATACACACAGAAGGACAGTGATTTTATTTTAAACTTGATAAAGAACTTTATTTGTTAAATTTATCCATAGCATAGTACATGAAGGTATACTAGAATTTTACTTTGGTGTAAAGTAATATAACAGAAATATTAAAGTCATGACAAAAATTCATAAAGATATAGAATATATTGAACATAAGCCAAAGATTAAACAATTTGTTCCTGTATTGTACTTTCTTAATAAAAGAATGTACGTTATTCATGATACAACTTTTAAAAATCTTTTGAAATTACTCAAGAGTTTTGATATCTGTATAACAGAACTCTCTGAAAAAACAACAAAAAAAGTTCTAAATCTAATGTTTCATCATTGAGATTATTTTGTGCACAATATAACTCCTGCTCCTGTAGAAAGAAAACAGAATAATGATGTAATTGTTTTCTCCTAAATTTTGATGAGAGATACATCAGAACGAAATGTCTATTCTAAGGTTAGCACCTAAGACACACATAAAAGTGCAAAGCATATGGTACTTTTATTTTTAAAAAAATAATAATAACAAGATGACATTAAGACTGAACAAGCTGAAATATTTATTTTTTTTACTCAGACTGTTACAAAGTTAATGAAATCAATGGGTTTTACCATAATCTGCAGTTTCATTGGTTTACCCATGACATAAAAATGAAAAATGATGATGCCCAGTAGTATGAGATGCTTTGAAATATTTATTTTTAGTAAATTTGTATCAATCAAATGTAAACTGGTTACTAAGAAAAGGATAATGATAATGCTTTCTATTTTCCAATTCCTTCTACAGGGTCTTACTTAAAGTTACCTAAAGCTCTTCTTTCTTTAAAGTATGTTTTACCTGCCCAGGATGTAAAAGTTCCTTTGCCTACTTGCTTATTGTTGTTGTTGTTGTTGTTAAGTGCCGTCGAGTCGGTTCCGACCCATAGCGACCCTGTACAGGGTTTCCGAGGGTGTAAATCTTTACGGGA